AAAACATCAATAAGCAATGGGAACAAAGTTCCTTTGGGACAAGAGTAGGACCATTAAAAAAAGAGCATCGTTTTTTTACGTCTGGTAGCGAGGCTTGCTTTTATCGTGATCCGAATTCGTCCACGGGGTTGCGATAGTGTCATGGCGAGGACTGGGCCTTCAGAGGTAGCAGTAAGAAGTGTAGTGCACCTAGTTGTATGACACTAAAACATAAATAAGTCAAATAGGGCAACCACCGGTCTTTGGACAAGAGCTACACGTACCATTTAAAAAGAGCTCATGTTTTTTTACGTCTGGTAGCGTCCTTGCTTTATCGATTCCGAATTCGTCCGGGTTGCTCATACATGTCTGGCGAGGCGTGGGCCTTCAGAGCTGAAGGAATATGTAGTGCACCTAGTGTATGACACTAAAACAATCAATAAGTCAATTGGAACACCGTTCTTGGACAAGAGTAGTACCATTAAAAAGAGCTTCGTTGTTTTACGTCTGGTAACCGTTCTTGCTTTTATCGATCCGAATTTCGTCCGGGTTGCTATATGTCTGGCGAGGCTGGGCCTTCAGCAGGGAAGGAATAATGTAGTGCACATAGTGTATGAGCACTAAAACATCAATAAGTCAATGGGAACACGTTTCTTTGGGACAAGAGTAGTACCATTAAAAAGAGCTCGTTTTTTACGTCTGGTAGCGTTCTTGCTTTATCGATCCGATTTCGTCCGGGGTTGCTATCTCTGTCTCTAACTTCCCTACAGAACCCTATCTCTGTCTCTTATCTTGTCTCTTGTCTTATCAACCTCTCTCAAGTGATCTCTCGTTGATCTCCCGTTGATCACTCCGATTTGTGCGCAACTACGCATGTTTCAGATAGCCCTCATACCACTCTCCTCCATGCCAACACCCTCTTCTCATAGCAACACATCAACCCCAACCCCCAATTTTCGCCTAATACCTTAACCCTAATATTAACTTATTACTATCCTTTTATCCAAAATACCAGATGAGTTTATGCCAAGAAGAGTACGGAGGAAGAGGAGAAAGAACCAGAAAGACCAAGAAACCAAGAGACCAAGAAGGGAGGAGAGATAAGTTTATAAAAAGAATTAAAAGTGAAAGAAATATGAAAAAAGGGGAATTGCAAAAAAAGGCCCCCTATTTATACTTTTTTTTCAGCTGCTGCGCCCCAAAAAAATTTTTTTTTGTGACCTTTTTTGGGGTAAAAAAAATTTATCACGCCATATTTTAAAATCGTCACAAAACATTTTTCAAAAAAAGTATAAAAGGGGGTTCTTTTCCTTTTCTCTCTTCTTTCTTTCTTTATCTATTTTTATAATCTTAAACTTATTGTGAAATATGAACCGTAACAATCAAACAGCAACCCATTCATCCATTGGCTCTTATTCCTCGTCCTCCGTCAACCGTAAGTCATTTTTTTTCTTTTTCTTTTTGTGATGACTTATGATTATTTTTTAGGTGTTCGTGTCGGTGCTACTGAAGATATTAGTGCTTCCACCCCTGTTGAAAATCTTAGTTCCAGCGTATCCCATCATGCCGTGCGTGAGCGCCAAGAGTATGACTCTGATTCTGATTACCAACCTGATCCCAATGACTCGGATGCTAGTGAAGTTGAAGAAGATGAAGTCGCCCGTGCCTTGGAAGGTTATGAATCTGAAGGTTCCGAAACAGAAGTTTTTGACGGCGATCTTTTGAACAATGAAGATGATCTCGATAACGATGATGACATTGTTGCCAACCATGGTTCTTCAGTCGAAATTAGTGAGGAAAATGAAGGTAAATTAGCCTGAAATTCAATCATTTATCTATATACTTATTTTTTTTTATCAGTAACCATGCCATTTGCCGAATTCGTTGAAAAGTGTGCCGCTGCTACCTCCATGACTGAAAGACTTGATTTAATGTTCAACGGACAAATTACTACCATTGACAACGTTCAAAAAAAAATTATTGTCGATTTGGAGACTGATTGTGATAGTCCTACCCTTTGCGAAGTAAACATCGATGCTTTTATTTCTTACCCGTTGAAGGAGTTGCCAATCATGCCTAAAACTCGTTTGAAGCTGTCTTTGAGCCCCAATTGGAAGCATGCTTTGACTCGTCTGGACTTCGGGCACTTCACGTTTCGTGGTGAGAGGGACTATGTTAAAAATTACCCGCATACTTTGCTTTTGGACGCCTTTTCGGAAGCATGCATGAATATTCATGTGCTCTTCCCGAACATGAAAAAAATGAAGCTTGGTGTAAGCAATGCCAGAAGAATGTTGGGTTCCGCTGCTCAAAAAACGTTTACCGACCGACTTCTGGTTCCCGCTATTCGACGTGTCTTGATTTGTTCTCGTGCGAATCGATCTGGTGGATCTTATGGCGAAGCCATTGGTACTGGATTTCACATGACATTGCCCAAATTTTTGCTTGGTTCGGAGCTTAGGCTCTTAGTCAAGTCTATGCGTGACATTGCAAAGGAGAGTGCGGATTTGGCGCCATATCGTCATTTTGTTTTTGTGGTTTCTTCTTTCGGGTTCAAAAGCCCAATGTATGGTCCGGATCACACGTCCATTCTAGATACCATGGTTGACTGGTCCCAACTTGACCCTCGAAGATGCCTTGTAGACATTGGCTTGAATCTGTTTGCCGAATCCGAGGATGGCCGACCATTGGTATCGTTTGTCAAAGAGGAAAAGGTCCAAGCTATGGGAAAACTTTTTGGAGGTCCAACCATAAAGACCGATTTTTATGGAATGTCTTTGGGTTCTTTTGGTGGCTTCTCCGGGAAAGGTCGTTCCGGTAATGTTTTTACGCCTTCGAAAGTAATGGTGTATAATGACATCAAGTATCCGTTTACGATGTCAAATCCTGGTGTAAACGGAAAGGTGTCCGGTCCATGGATACCCGAGGAAATGAGAAATACCTTTCGTCATCATGAGGGTCGTCATTTAAAGAACATGGTATGCAATACATTTAATATAAATTTTCCCATATATTTACTTCAAAAATTGTAATAGAGATGGTATAATGCCCGTGTTTCCGAATACCAAGGCCACCAGTTTACTACTCGTTTGGAGGTTCGTGTCCCGGCGATCTCAGCTACTACGGCTTACGTGGACGTCTTGGTCGCAAAGTTGAAGTAAGTTTTTCTACAGGCAACTTCTTTTAGATACTTTATTAATTATTCTGCTTTTTATGATAGGTCTTCTCTTGCTGATGAGGCCTTCATCCATATAGATTCGGGAATTTACCTCCAGTACGTTGGTCTCATGGCAAATCTTATAAGTGACTTGGCAGAAAAATGTCTTGGTTCCGTTTTGTTGCAGTCGTTCTCCGGGTTGTATCTCTCCGCGTACATGCTAAATAACTTGATGCATTCTGATCAATCTTTAACCGATTCTTCAAAGTTCGTATCAGCAAGCAGATGTCGTAAAAACAGGTTGTGTTTTTTGCCTGATTCGTTTGCCGTCGATGGTGATAGAGTCATGTTTGGTCATACTTTCGACTTGATCCGCATGCAACAAGCTTTTCCTAGTTTTGAAATCACTGATACCAGCAATTTAGATGTAGTTGTCGATTTACATCATGGTGAAGTAGAAGGAGCTTTCAGTCATGGACAGTTATTTCTCTACGATATTTCGAACATCTGTACCATAAGAAACGTATACACTATGCAGCAAGCCCTAATGGAGTACGGTTTTGGAATGCGTCTAGCCTCGATGTTCCTAAGACAATTTTGGACTGAGTATTTTGTTTTGGTGGGGGGAGATTTTTCTGGCTGTAATTTGGAAACGATGAGTTTTTCCGGTGATCACACTCCATTTACCGTGCACTCTCAAGAACGTTCTTGTCTCTTTGAACCAGTGTCAATAACTGAACGATTGAACTTTCTTCTGCCATTGCCGGACCGTCAAGATTGTCATGTTAATTGTGTGAGAAAGAATTTGTCTTCCTACATTAGCTCCGATAACATTGATTCGCACTGGAAAAAATTTGGGACTAGAGCATGGTACCTGGAGCTTTTTGCGAATCCACTTATTAGTTACGACCAACTAGCTCATTTTCATTCTTTGGTTTTGGTTAGCTGCCTTTATACGTGCAAGTATATTCCATGGACATTTCCATCAAAATTTTTCGTACGAGAATCTGGTGGCGTTGTTGTACGTAAGGCATCCCGCTTTGAACAACAAATCGAAGAGCTGAATGTTTCTGTGTTTGATTTTTTACAAAATTATTCTGTCAATAACAATGCTGCTTGTGAATATCTTGGTTCCGTCCCTTTACCTGCGTACAAAAAGTCAAGAAATCGTGGGGATCGAGACTCAGTTGCAACTGCTTCCACGGAAAACACTAATCCTCCTCAAAAGCGTAAAATGAATGGCCGATTTGCCTAAGTTCTACCAAATCGGTTTTCTTTTATGATATTATTTCTGACTATGAATTTTTATTTTACATCCATTTCAATTTTTTAATCCCTTTTTTAGATTTTTTTTACTTCCTTTATATTTTTTATGCCTTATTTACAGTTCGTTATGCCTCTTTTTATAGTATTTTTATGCCCTTCTTTACACTTTTTATGTCGTTTTCTACCTTTTTTATGCCCTTCTTTAGACTTTTTATGCCGTTTTCTACCTTTTTTATGCGTTTCCTTATAGTTTCTTATGATATTTTTTAGTTATTATTATGTTTTTTTTAAATTTTATTATGTCCTTCTTTATATTTTATTATGTCCTTCTTTATATTTTATTATGTCCTTCAATATATTTTATTATGTTCTTCATTAAATTTTATTATGTCTCTCTTTAAATTTGTTTATGTTCTTTTTAGCTTTCACGTTTATATGATAATATACTTCCTAACTCAATTGTTATTCAACAATCTATTTAATTGTGACCTTGTTTATTATTTTTGCTTTACGTTATATCAGTCTTAAGTTTATTTTTTTTGTCATTTTTTATACCATTTTTAGGCTTTTAAAGAGACTTAACTTTTGGAATTTCAAGGCAATAGTAATCAGCACAAAAAAGCATAACAAACGTTTAAATACTGGATACATTTAAACTTAGTTTCGAATGTATATTTAGGGCCCTTCATTAACCAAAAACTGCAAAAGTTGCGTAGTGAATGTTTATAAGTCTGGTTTTGAAGTATCAAACTATGCTCACAAAACTAAGAAAAAAGTTCTTATTGTACCATGTTTTTTTGTAACCTTTTAGCAAAAAACTTCAAACTGAGTTTTGTCAGAATAACCAGAAGATATAAATATGTATAAAAGCTTTAATGGGAAACAGTTGATTTGAACGTAAGTTGATAGAAATTTAACAAATTCGAGCAAAACAAAGAGTATAAATTGGGCATTTTCAATGTTCATTTAATGAAACAAAAGCAACGTGACATGTACATCATTTTAAACAGCTGTAAAAGACGGTTGTTACGAATATCTTGTTAAATTCATAGTGATTGTATTGGAATGAATTGCTGAGAGACAGACAAGCTATTAGGAGATAATGATAGAAACGGACATATTTATGTTCGAAGGGTGGAATTTCGAGTGAAGATTATATAGGAATCGTTACCTTCATCAATTTAAATAGCAGTGGAACTCCAATGTTATATACGGGATTTTCATAGGTTAATTTTATTAAAAAAGCTTATATACATTTCAAAGTAAATATATAAAGCTGTAGATCGGAACAAGAATGACTATAGATTAGAACGATTAGTTAAAACATTTGTCATATTAATGAATAGTCGGCTTCAAAAATCTTTTTGAACAAGAACTAAAAATAATATTAATATAACTAGAAGGCAAAACCCAGATCATAAGCCGAGTAATATATCAACTGCTATGTTTTTATGTACTGTTTGGTGGGATCCACTGCGTAACAAGTAAAAACCAGTATTTCGTTTACAAATTGTCAGGAGCGAACAGGCGGAAAGAACAGAGAGAAGAATACTTGATTACAAGAATAGAAAAATACCTGATAATTATGATATTTATTATAAGACAGATAGAAGAAAGAGGAAAAGAGTAAAGAGGGTTATTGGATAATATATCTGATAAAGGGGAAGAAAGAAAATAAAAAATTAGGCTATACTTATAGTAAAAGGATTGTAAAGTTATTTCACAAAAAAATAACCAATGACAAAGTTTACTAAGTCAATTCTTATTTACCACAGATATCTTATGATTGTTGGCTGACAAGTAGAGGAAAAGGTGCTGACAAAGAATTACCAAAATTAATGCATCTACGTGACACGATCGTGACATCAACACTTCAAATAAATATGCGCTATACTTTTCTAAAAATAGTTACACTACTTATTTCAACCTATTTTTTATGCATAAACAGAAGCACAGTCCATAGTTTTTTATTTTTCAAAAGGATGATTTGCCGAAGATATATTGGAACCAAAATTATAAAATTAGAGTCGGTAATTGAACCGAGGTGCCTTAAAAATAATGCTAGATGAATAAGTGCTGCCTTCCAAAATAATTGTAACCAAATAAAGCAAGAACAATTTGTATAGAACGATACCTTCGAATTTTAGCAACAAAATAGACTGGAGTCACGTAAAATTTACTTAAAGTATAGCTTTAAACGGTCCAAGACTAGCCATGATAATGAACGCTGTTTTAAAGCCAATCACAGCTCAAAAATATCGCAAAAGTTATTTTTTTAAAAATATATATTTGTGCAAACAAAACAAAACATTGATAGCGGCAGTCTACAATACTTTGTTTTTTTTCGAATTTGTAAAACTTTTTCTGCCAATTAATACTTATCGGACGGTGTTGAAATTAGTATCATTCTAAAGCCCAATTGTAGGTGCAAAGCGTAACCTAGCCGAATGTTTAACCTTCAATCGAAAATTTCTTTTAAAAACCAATCAAAAATATTTCCCCTGCTTAAAATAGTAATTTTCAACTTTAAACGAGTGTGACACCATTTCAACCAATCCAAAGGGGGTTGTACTTTATTTTTTGAAATTGGACAAGTTTTTGCTATGTTTCGGTAAAAATTCCAAATTTCATTCGGGGTACTATGGGCAGGCAAAATTGGCTCTGGTATGCGTAGGCTGAGAGATAATGTAGTGTACATAGTTTATGACTTTGAAACCCAAATAAGTCAATGAGTTCTCATTTCTATGGATCGAAAATAGTACCGTTGAAACGAGCTCATTTTTCCACGTAGGATAGCCGTGCGTTTTTTTCATTCCAGATTTCATCGGGGGTTGCTATGGGCAGGCAAAATTGGCTCTGGTATGCGTAGGCTGAGAGATAATGTAGTGTACATAGTTTATGACTTTGAAACCCAAATAAGTCAATGAGTTCTCATTTCTATGGATCGAAAATAGTACCGTTGAAACGAGCTCATTTTTCCACGTAGGATAGCCGTGCGTTTTTTTCATTCCAGATTTCATCGGGGGTTGCTATGGGCAGGCAAAATTGGCTCTGGTATGCGTAGGCTGAGAGATAATGTAGTGTACATAGTTTATGACTTTGAAACCCAAATAAGTCAATGAGTTCTCATTTCTATGGATCGAAAATAGTACCGTTGAAACGAGCTCATTTTTCCACGTAGGATAGCCGTGCGTTTTTTTCATTCCAGATTTCATCGGGGGTTGCTATGGGCAGGCAAAATTGGCTCTGGTATGCGTAGGCTGAGAGATAATGTAGTGTACATAGTTTATGACTTTGAAACCCAAATAAGTCAATGAGTTCTCATTTCTATGGATCGAAAATAGTACCGTTGAAACGAGCTCATTTTTCCACGTAGGATAGCCGTGCGTTTTTTTCATTCCAGATTTCATCGGGGGTTGCTATGGGCAGGCAAAATTGGCTCTGGTATGCGTAGGCTGAGAGATAATGTAGTGTACATAGTTTATGACTTTGAAACCCAAATAAGTCAATGAGTTCTCATTTCTATGGATCGAAAATAGTACCGTTGAAACGAGCTCATTTTTCCACGTAGGATAGCCGTGCGTTTTTTTCATTCCAGATTTCATCGGGGGTTGCTATGGGCAGGCAAAATTGGCTCTGGTATGCGTAGGCTGAGAGATAATGTAGTGTACATAGTTTATGACTTTGAAACCCAAATAAGTCAATGAGTTCTCATTTCTATGGATCGAAAATAGTACCGTTGAAACGAGCTCATTTTTCCACGTAGGATAGCCGTGCGTTTTTTTCATTCCAGATTTCATCGGGGGTTGCTATGGGCAGGCAAAATTGGCTCTGGTATGCGTAGGCTGAGAGATAATGTAGTGTACATAGTTTATGACTTTGAAACCCAAATAAGTCAATGAGTTCTCATTTCTATGGATCGAAAATAGTACCGTTGAAACGAGCTCATTTTTCCACGTAGGATAGCCGTGCGTTTTTTTCATTCCAGATTTCATCGGGGGTTGCTATGGGCAGGCAAAATTGGCTCTGGTATGCGTAGGCTGAGAGATAATGTAGTGTACATAGTTTATGACTTTGAAACCCAAATAAGTCAATGAGTTCTCATTTCTATGGATCGAAAATAGTACCGTTGAAACGAGCTCATTTTTCCACGTAGGATAGCCGTGCGTTTTTTTCATTCCAGATTTCATCGGGGGTTGCTATGGGCAGGCAAAATTGGCTCTGGTATGCGTAGGCTGAGAGATAATGTAGTGTACATAGTTTATGACTTTGAAACCCAAATAAGTCAATGAGTTCTCATTTCTATGGATCGAAAATAGTACCGTTGAAACGAGCTCATTTTTCCACGTAGGATAGCCGTGCGTTTTTTTCATTCCAGATTTCATCGGGGGTTGCTATGGGCAGGCAAAATTGGCTCTGGTATGCGTAGGCTGAGAGATAATGTAGTGTACATAGTTTATGACTTTGAAACCCAAATAAGTCAATGAGTTCTCATTTCTATGGATCGAAAATAGTACCGTTGAAACGAGCTCATTTTTCCACGTAGGATAGCCGTGCGTTTTTTTCATTCCAGATTTCATCGGGGGTTGCTATGGGCAGGCAAAATTGGCTCTGGTATGCGTAGGCTGAGAGATAATGTAGTGTACATAGTTTATGACTTTGAAACCCAAATAAGTCAATGAGTTCTCATTTCTATGGATCGAAAATAGTACCGTTGAAACGAGCTCATTTTTCCACGTAGGATAGCCGTGCGTTTTTTTCATTCCAGATTTCATCGGGGGTTGCTATGGGCAGGCAAAATTGGCTCTGGTATGCGTAGGCTGAGAGATAATGTAGTGTACATAGTTTATGACTTTGAAACCCAAATAAGTCAATGAGTTCTCATTTCTATGGATCGAAAATAGTACCGTTGAAACGAGCTCATTTTTCCACGTAGGATAGCCGTGCGTTTTTTTCATTCCAGATTTCATCGGGGGTTGCTATGGGCAGGCAAAATTGGCTCTGGTATGCGTAGGCTGAGAGATAATGTAGTGTACATAGTTTATGACTTTGAAACCCAAATAAGTCAATGAGTTCTCATTTCTATGGATCGAAAATAGTACCGTTGAAACGAGCTCATTTTTCCACGTAGGATAGCCGTGCGTTTTTTTCATTCCAGATTTCATCGGGGGTTGCTATGGGCAGGCAAAATTGGCTCTGGTATGCGTAGGCTGAGAGATAATGTAGTGTACATAGTTTATGACTTTGAAACCCAAATAAGTCAATGAGTTCTCATTTCTATGGATCGAAAATAGTACCGTTGAAACGAGCTCATTTTTCCACGTAGGATA